AGGGATTTACGCCCATGGACTCCAGTGACTTGGCTGGAAGCCCTGCCTTCAAGTCGGCCCATAAGTCTTCAGTGGCCTGTGATGGGGCCTTACTTCATGTTAGATCTCAGTCGTACTATGAGTCACTGTCATGGAGTGGTGAATTCACCTCGGAGTGGACCGATGGCAGGTTGTGTTGGAATGTTGTGGCTACGACCGGCAACAACTCATGCGCCCTTAGAAGCCGCCTTTTTAGCTGCTGCAGACCAGTGCTTCACATCGACTCTTGTTATATACTGCAAGCCACAGCCAGGACTTCCTGACGTAGCCTCTGCATGATGCCGACTTCCACATCATTGACGCGAGTCATGATGCTGGACGTTGATAACTCATACTCGCCCTCAGTTCATTGGGGTTAGGAAGCAGATGTCGCAAGTGTGTAGTAAATTCTTTGTGCAGTAACCCAGATTAGTAATGCCAGGACTCACACTAGCTCTATCCCAAAGACTAAAAATTATGCTAGCTGACAGAAACTTAAGTGTTGAATCAATTCAGTTGAGTATCTGGGGTTTTTTTTATTCAAATTCTTCCTCAGGCAAACAGAGTTATAAATTCACTAGTCCAGTCATAAGACTGGGAAAAAGGCCTCAAACTTGAATTAACACTGCTTTAAAATGAGCGACGATTTCTGAGTGAAGAAATCTGAACTCGGCATTGAAGTTTAATTTTTAAGCTTCAGCTGCACTTGGAACTATTCGCTTTGGGGGACAGGCACTTGCAGCGAAGTAACTTTCAACATCACGTGCACTATCGTATCCACATTTCTATGTGAGTCTGGAGGAATGGGCATTATTTTCACGAAGCAGTAATGCCTATTTTTCGTTCACATAGGAACCCTAGGAAGGAATTTCTGGCACGGTTTCTAACGTATTACTCTTTGAATTCCTAAAAAAAAAAAAAAATAGAAAAAAAGAAAAAAAAATATTACATTACATGCGTCAATGGGAAATTCGCCTCTTCGAATACGCTATTGGTCACGTGACTGCAATGGGACCGAGCCCTTGACAGAATTTGGACTTTAAAGAATTGTGAAAAGTGCCGCATAATATTAAGTTATCCTGAAGCTGTCGGTATGTCCCTTAAGACGACAGTGTGAAAATGCAACAAATCTTGAACAAGACTTTTGACTTTCTTGAAGATCATTTCAAGTCATCCGTAGCGCTTCGCAAGGGTACCCCGAGAAAATTTTGATTAAGGCTAAAAAAAAATATTTTTCGTGGTTGCAGACCTCTCCAGAATTTGTAAAGGACTGAGAAAATTGGTCTTAATAATTCACGTCCTTGCAAAAGACGGCGTAAGATTTCCGAAGCACAGATAATTTTTGAAGACCTTGAAGCTTTTAAGAGGTCGAGTGAAGCAGGCTCACCTGACAATAGTGATCTACTAATTCTCTCGTATTACCAACTTTTTACAAATTTCTCAAAGACAACAATGCTCCAAAATGTTGTGCTATTGAGCTAAGGTCGTCACCAGAAGAGACGGTGATCTTTTGCATACATCTGCCAGTTCCCCCTTTCTTTCCCGTGTAACTATTTGGGAGCACTTTTACCCAGCCTATGACTAATGCGTGATTTCATTGTCTGTGCGATTCATCCTTTACTTCTCGGTCGAGAAAGCGCAAGAGGAAGCCAAGTTTGAAGTTGCTGCCTCATCGCGCCTGGCCAAAATGGAGGATGATGAGTCGAGGCCCATCAGCCGAGAACTCCGGCTGGACTCGCCACTGCCTAACCCCCCCCCCCCCTTCCCGCCCCTGCATCGTTCCGTGTGCTGGCCCGTCCTTCGACTCGCCTCTCCCCTGATCCTTCCGGCTCGTGCCCCCTCATCCCTCGCTAAGCCAAATCCCCCGGCTAATTTGCTCACGGCCTGCTTGGTAAGGAACAACGGAAGTCTTTCACCCGCGAGAGGGGATTCAAGCGTGCGCTCTCGTCGTCTCCCCCTCATTCTCCGTCTCCGCGAACGTCTTATTTTGGAGGCGCATCTCGGCCGTCGATTGTGCTTCAGAGGCCCGCCATTAGAGACATCATGAGCCGGAGGTCCCTGGTGACATGACGCTGTGTTTTCACAGCAGTGCCGCCCTGAGTACAGCGAAGCCAACTGGCAATGCCAGGGACTGTTTCATGTCATCATTCCATATAGTGATTATGAAGGAGTGAAATAATGTCATTGAAATTTGTAAGAAAAAGGCTGCCAAAGGAAAAATGTTGTACAAGAGTTCGACGGTGACGGAGGCGATCTTTCTCTTCGGGTTAGAGGACACACATCATATCCAACTTGTAATGGGTTTGAAGCACAACTTTGGCATGTAAAAGATAGTAAATCTGTGCATTAGGATATGCATGCGCCTAACGACCGAACAAACAATCCTGCTGGATGGGAACTAACAGTTCCCTTACATGAGTCGAACCCACAAGGGAGAGGTCCGTAGTGCCGAACTCAACCATGAAGGTTTTATCAGTTAGCCGTCCTTTATTATGCTTCAAACCCCTTTCCCTGGACGTATGGCATAGACAGTTAAATATTCCGAACCTACCCCACCCTACCCATAATTGCACCGGCGGTCCTGCTTCTTGTCCTATCAGACCAGGTGGTGCTTTCACTGCTAAGATGTCGTTTTGTCTTTCTTGGGGGTGGGTGTGGGGGGGGGGGTAAACCTTCATGGTTATACATCTGTTTGTTCCCCTTATGCTAGGTGAACGGTTTTAGTGCAAATTGTGACCCTTATACGTTTTATATTCAGTAGGTCTGCGACAGTGTCTTCGTCTCTTGTCCAGGATCGAGTACATGCATTTCCTGAATGAGGTAGTTCGGGCGCCAGAGTACGCCGAAGCCAGTCACTGATGCAGCGGTTGCATGTACTGCAGCAAGAAAGGAACAATTATAGTCCCTAATATTTACTGTAACTCTTTGTTGATGGACTCCTCAACAACTGCAAATCAGCCCCAGGCGAAAATCATGAAAAAGGTATCCCTGAAGAGCCGTCCTACAGGAACTCGTAAGAGTGCACACTGAACCCAACAAGCGTTTTGGTAACTGTCATCAAACAGTCGTCGTAAGTGATGGCTCGTTATTTCCGTGAATCGTCGGTGTGCATCTTTTACTTGCCTCCCATCTCTCTCTCTCTCTCTCTATCTCCTTTTCTCCTGTCTTCCTGTAATCCCGTGACCAAGCCGAAAGGCAGGCACAAGCCACTGCCAAGGTTAAACGTGTCCCCTGATAGATCTAGTGCCAAGCCGGGGCAGGGAGAGAGTGTTTTTTTTTTAAGTTTTTTTTTTTACTTCCGTTCTTCCATTCTCTCTCACTCGCAGAGTCGGGCACCGACCGAAACTTCTTATGCACAGCTCTCCTGTATTTAGCTCTCCTTCCATTCTGGAGCAGTTGGGCCGAGAGATTCCCTTCGTCAGCTCGGTACATAGCGAGCCGGAGCAGACGCTACCTGCAGGGCTGGTATCCCCGGGGGAATGCCCGGTGGACTTCACCGACATGAAGTCGGTATTAATTAAAGCAAATGAAGCGGTCATTACATGGGAGTTACAGCGAATCAGTCGCTCGTTATTCCTGGATGATGACGCTATTTTACTGTAGCAAACATCACGTAGCTCGGGCTCGGGGTCCTCTCGAGGGAGTGTTATCTTCCATCAGCTAGTTGACATCACCGCGCAGGAAATATGGTCCTGAAATGAATTTCGACGCGATGGTGTTAAGAATTTCGCTCAGCTTTTGTGTCCGGCTGGTTTGTGTTCACAATTCTTAAGTTACAAGCTTTTTGTCTGTATATTAACACACAGGAGAAGCCATAGCCATTGCTCTTGAAGTTCAAATTACGGGGTTACTGGCAGCAATTTCGGGGTAAAATATGCCTTTTGACGGAGAATATTGTTGCTACTCAAGGGGTAGTCCGGCACGTAAGAAGCCAGTGTCATTTTGGTATAGGTTACTGGACAATATCAGGTGACATCCACAGCCGTGGGCTGGGCGGGATGACACGAATAAGCACAGTTCAAATTAGACTGAAAAGGGCCAGCTAAAAGTCAAGTTTTTGAAGGATTTAGGATGTGAAAGGTGTTAATGAAGGATACACAAATGAATTTCTAATTCAATTAGTAGCAGTAAGAGGCGAATTATAACACTTTAAGTAAAATAATTTCTAATTATCCAAGAAAACTCCGATTGCCTGTTACCTATACAGGTAAAATGTATCTAGTTTGCCAAAAAAAAACCCAGAGTTTGTTTCTACTCATCGAAGATAACATGAGCTCAACTTCAGTCGCCATAAAAGCGTGAAATCCAATGAATTCAAGCGATACGTGTCTTCTTGCGTGCAAACAATGTCCAGTATAAAAGTGAAGCATACATTTCAGTGGAGGGAATTCCGACTATGCCCTAGGGAGACATGGAATGATTGTAAAAGTCCATTCGCCAATTGGTAAGACTTTCCTTTCTCATGTGCAATTTTTTCTGTCTTTCTCTAAATTTTAATCTTGCATAATGCTCAATCAGTTTTGTTTGGTCATAAGCTGCGTCGAGTTGCGTGGCTTTCTACTAGCTTTCTGGAAAGCTCAACGACCCTTGTGTCCCATACAGCGATCACAAAAGAATGGGCCATAACTCGATGTAATTAAAAGACGGCCAATGAGTTGCCGCAGTCTGGCCGACCCAATCATTAAAAGACACCCACAAAGTATTGTGCTTTCCTTTTTCTGAGAAGAAAACCCGGCGGCGTCCCTTTGATGTTGGCTTGATGGCACTGCTTGACTGGACCCGGGACAAAACCTCTCCAGTTAAAGAGTTTGGTTTGCGTCCCTAAGAACGCCCTGCTAAGCTCCCCCCCCATCCCTGGCTCTGTCGGCTGGCTCTATTGTTCCGTATTGTCATCTTATTACCCTTGATGTTGTGTATGATAACACTAATGACTAGGAGTATGAGGACCGTCCCAAGAAAGCCATTCCTCGGGAGGGTTTCGGCTCAAGCGGTCAGTGAGAATGAGTGAGCAATAAGGACCAAAAAAAAAGAACGACACGAGGTAATTTGCCCACCGCAAAAGACCAGCCGAGCGGAGTGACTGGTATCGTGGCATGAAACCAACGAAGTAGAAATGAGACGTTGCTGGCCTGATAGGCTTGGTCATGCGTGCCAATGCAACGCGCATAGCAGTCAGCCCCCCCCCCTCTTCCTCGACTCTCCCAAGCCTTTGAGATGCCACGGTCGGGTAATGATAGCCTTATTATGATGCCATTCCCTTTTTCACCGGCAGCTCGCGCACGGAACTTTTCGCTGCCTCTCCCTGGATTCGACCATCTGAATGGGCAGGAAATGCATCCACTCTGACGGCGGAAGGATGCGATCTTTTCAGCTCCGGTGGAATGCTTTTTGCTCAAGACCTCTCCGTTAGTGACATTTATGGGGATTGTGCAAGGCGTGTGTGGATCAACTGTATAATACCCCCTAGCCATCTCCTGGAGTTTCTCCCAATAAGTCATCGGTTGGTGATCTTTGGAAGCTCCAGGGCTACCACCCCTGTGGCTGTAATGGAAGAATCCTTCCAATCAAGACGCTTTTTTTCCCTCTCAAGTTCCTCTCTGGCGGTATCCATTACAAACTACTGAGGGGCGGAACAATACTGGGCGCAAATCCTGTAACATTAATGAGTATTCACTTTAATTGGTTAATCGTATATTAACTCAATCTGACGATGTCGCAGGGGTTTGTCCAGTTGTTGACTAGTTCTCGCCCGTCACTCGAAGCAAGTGCTTGGCCTGCCCGTTTGCCAGAGTGCCATTCGCGATCCTTCTGCTTGACTAAAACTTAAACTGTATGTGATTTCCTTTCAACGTTGGCATGGTTTTGTACTGAATTGATAACCAGATTGTTAGTCAAACCTAAAACTATTTATTAAGAAATTGTTTGGTCTTGAAAAAGGTGATTTAAGGTGGAGATAGGTGATGTGAAAAAAATTGTTGAAGGTCTCGAAAAGGCGATATTTGACTGAAAGACGGATTTCTAGTCGCGATATGCCGGCAGAGAGTTCGTCCATAGAACCAAGCCAGGCAATCGCAATGTCGACGAGTCCCGATCTGTTCAACTCCCAAAACATACCGCTGGAGACCCGGCTCTACCCCAGTTGCAGCAGCTTCAAGAGGGCTCGGGACCGGGACGGTAGCGGGGCCGAGTCGGACGCCCCACGGATCGCCTCCCCGAACACCGAGATGGGTTTCCACTACCACGAGTTCAGCGGGGCGAGCAGCGACTCTGACGCCGGGGAGGAGCGGCACAGAGCCCGGGAGCAGCACCACAGTGGCTCGCTGAGGAACACCAGCCCGATCCATTCCGAGAAATACGATAGCCTCGCCTCTGCGTCTATGTACGCAGTCGAAAACTACGGGAAAGGTACGTTGCCTACAAAATACTGGTTTCTTATGGAAAGGCCATGTTTTAAAATACAAATATCAAGTCGGATATCATTTCGAAAGGGCATTTAAACTATAGCATTCTCTAGCAAATGACATTTTTTGTGTTCCTTCTAACTCCATTCGTCAAGACCTTTACGTCCCTACTTGCAGATACCAGTCGTCAGTAATAAGTGAGTAATGAGTAATGACCTTTCTAACTTTACAAACCAGAAAAGTATACTGTGCACAGAGTGCAAACTTTCCAACCGTGAATGGTTGCAGAAGAAACTCTTCAGTGTAATTTTTTATTTTTTTTTTTTATTTTTTGGTTGTAAAACCACTGGAGTTTCCGGTAAAGTTGGTCAGACTGTAAGCAGGGGAGACAGTATTCGAAACTTTTATTTGCCTTTTTGTCGCCTCGGGGTGGTTGGCCATCATGGCCCACGCAAATCACATTCAATCCGTTTTATTATTAATTTTCAATCAAATGGATATTTCAGTAAAAAGGCAAAACGCATAAAAGCCGGTTTGGACGAATTCCGTGAAGTGAGGTGGTTTTGATTTCACAAACGTCGTAGCCAAATTCGCTAGAGTTGAAATGTGTTCAGTTTTTGCAAATTCGCTTCACAAAAAGTTCATCTGACGTCACAACTTCGCATTCGTGCTCGCTTTTGCGCCGAGTGTGAACCCGTCTTTAGTTCGTATCTTGCTTGTGCAGTTGTGATGGCTCACTTTCAATGCAGTAACTGACAGAAAGCTCCGCAGTCAAACAGAGGAGTCAGGAGTTCCTCCACTTTTTATCCGATGGTCAGAAAGTGCACGTATATCATGGCTGTGACTCATGTAAGCCGCCTTTTGAGAGACACATTCATCAGAGAGGATTCTGACTTCAGTCGAGAGTATCCACGTCTGTGTACACGGTCGCTGTTCACCTCGATAAATTCCATCTTGCCGCAATGGTATCATGGCGATTGGGCATGCATTATTGATGCCTTGACTCAAGACGCTCATCTTTTTGGAGATGTTCTCCCCTGGATGCCTAATGGATGTCATTATTATACATAATTAACCCAACAGATAAGTCGACTGCATATCTTAAAGGCAATTTTGATCGTTGCTTCGATTCAGGAGGAAATTCATTCGGGGATATGTTGGTCTAGGCGTGTAATAAAAATTTACACTTTCCACTCATCTTAGCTACCCGTTCTTGCTATAAAAGTCATGTCTTGCCTGACATTTGTAGAATAAAAAAATTGATTATTTCTCAAGAAGCGGGTGGAATTGTGAAGTTGTAGAACCTGTTACGCGCTTCTTGTAGTTAAATCGTCCTCGGAGTAAGTCCTGCTGCCTCTAACTTATTTGGTTTAAAACGCTTATAATTGAAAGTGAGAGTGCGCGAAATATTGACTGAGATTTGGGTTTGATCAGGAAAGAGATAACAAATGCGGAAAATGTCTCCAGATGTCCATATGAACATCTTATGGTTGTCGATATTTTATTTAAAAACACCTTTAATGACTTTTATTTTAAATTGTACTTTAAGAATACACGTGCGTTTCACAAACTGCACGTGAATTTACACACTTTCGGTGCGACAGTTTTTTAGTGCGAACATTTCAGTGGCGTAAGGGAAAATTTCAACATAATATTTAAAAAAAAAGTAAAGTGAACTTTAAAAGTTCATAAGCAGGCAATCCACCGATTTAGAGAAACGTGATACATGTGTGAACACGGCTATTCAATGAATTATCCTGCATGGTTGTTTTCAACGTAAAGGACAGAATGGAAGCCCAGTTATGATGATCCCACGCGTTGTGGCTAAATCCAAACAATCATTGGATATAACAAACCTATAGTCTCTAAATGATTCCTGGAAATTGGGCGTCGGCATGGAAGGGGTGAGTGCTGTCCCCTAAAGGACTGACTTTAAAGTTATTTGTTATCTGTATCGACTGTGAACAAAATTGTTGCATTTTATTGCCTCGCTTCAACATCGAAAAGAAAGCTCCTTTTTTGGGGGGGTCCATAATATAGCCGCATTTACTACAAATCGCCATTGCTGTTTAATCATTAGGTCCAAGCCCTTAATAAGGACGTCCATGAGGCTGAACCAGCGTTTTTGCGATTTTATCTTCAGTTGGATTGTAACAGGAAAAGAAGTTGAAAGGAATTACTGATAACGTAAGAGGTGGATTCTCGAGGGGTAGATTACGTTCGCTCATTCTTCAGGATTTCAAAGAAAAGCCAAGCGATAAGAGAAAACCAGACGGCCAAACTTTGTAAAGCCTTTCCAATAGACCGGCCACTCTCGTTATCTCGCAACAAACCATCCAACCCACGAGTGTGCCTGTTCTCTGCCGGTTCATATCGTTAATAACCGTTTGAAAGGAGGGACTTATTCATAATTGATTTGATATTATCTTGTAACTTAGCTCGTATCCGCATCAGTGGGCCGCGCGAACAAGCAATTTTGACAAATAGAGAGAGGGAAAATTAACTTGTCATGGGGTCCCAAGGGAGGCTCAAGGTATACCGCCGGCTCTGACGTTGATACATGTCGGCTTCCCGTCCGCTTCATCAAGCATTATTTACACAGTAATAATATGATAATTTGGACGGCTGTTTAGATTCTAGACTTAAACGCTCGTAAAATATTTTTATTTGGGTGCTTATAGGAACTCCGGTTAGATGGCATTTCATTTTTTTTTCAAACGACGTAAGAAACCTTACGTTGTTGTACTTTTTTAACAATTTTGTAGTTCTTTTAATGAAAGTTTGATACGCTGCTCAGAAAGAAAATTGCCATATCAAAATGCTGGCTTGGGACATTAGGGCAAACCTGGAGTCCTGTGACAGTATTAAAAAAATGAAACGAGGAGTATTTAGATGCCACTGGATAGTTTCCGATGCTTGAGTTTTTATACAGGGAATACAGGGAATTGGCCCCAACAGTGTCATGTATAATCTCGATTCACGAATACAGTACCTGTCGACGGAATGATTGATTGTAGGCCTCCTGCGTGACAGTTTCTAGGCACGTTTTCGAAATGTGTTTCCGAAATTGCGAGGATGTGTGATCAACTTGTTTGTCAGTTTCAGGTTTTGATGTGTAGATCTTACCCGTGGGAAAACAGAGAGCATTGCCGATGGGACAGGCTCGTCTGAAAGCAGAGTTTTATCTGTCAGTTTCAAAATTGGCAAAAAAAGGTTATTTTCTTCCCGTTTCATTGCAAATATTATAGGCCATGAAGGCACTCGTACGATAATAGTCGATACATGAGTGCATGTGTTACTATAAGCATTTGGTTTTCATTGCTTGTGAGGTTGATGTGTTTGGGGTCTGTTAGCCCATATTTCTGATGCCAGCTCGCCCAGATATCTGGCAAGTAAGCTCCAATAAATGATTAAGCTGTGGCAAGAAACCCGATAAGATTGAGATTGTGTCTTGAGTTTCGTGCATTAAAGAGTCCAAGTATAATAGTCGATATGTGAGTGCTTGTTTTACTCTGTATTCATCGGTTTGACCATACTTTTTAACTATCCCTGTTTTCATTCTACCCGCGCCAATTTCTCTTGAAACTCTCTGGCCCATTGCATTTTGCCTTTGTGTACACCATCTGCAGTGGAAGACCCCACCCCAACATTCATTTTTTTCATTTCTGGACGAACCTGAAGTCCAGTGCACTAAACGCAATGCCAGCTCGGCCTAGAAATATTTGCAATCCTCTCTGTCTACAACTTAGGCCTACTCTTCTTCCTCTAACCAGGCGATAAAGGCGTGGATAGCCAGGTACGGAGGTACCGCACGGCGTTCACTCGGGAGCAGATCAGCAAGCTGGAGAAGGAATTCACACGCGAGAACTACGTCTCCAGGCCCCGTCGATGCGAGCTGGCGTCGACCCTCAACCTTCCAGAGACCACCATCAAGGTAAAATTTTTTTTTTTTAATACAAGAGAGACAATTCATGAATTGTATTCTGAGTTTTCCTTTTGTCTGTTTCGTTCGTGAAAAAATACAATTATTCAAAGAAATGACAAATTCCAGTAATATATTACTTTTGTATTCTTCGACTGATAAAATAAATTGAACATGTCACATGTTAGAACTGAGATTAAGAGTATTGTTCAGATAAATTACAAATGCTGAAAGTGTTCACTTTTTTGGACAACTTAGTCGACTTTTGTCGGTGGCTATATATGTGCGCGAGTACCGAAACAACCTACGGGAGGAGTTGACGTCGATTTGCGCTCGAGCTCTAAAAACAAACAAATTGCCAGAGAACTCGATGGAGATAACATCTGAATGAAACGAATTTGGTGATTACTACTTGATAAAAAGATAGAAGGGTTTTTATATAATTGGATTGACAGAAGAAAATCCCGTGAGGGGTAAGTGGAAGCATTGTCCTTAGGGGTAAAGAATCAATAGACACTTTGAAATCTGTGGGATTTTCACATCAAGACCGAAATTGTGAGCGAAGTTATTTGGGCTCCAGCGTGCCGTATAACAGTTCGCGATTTTTCGAGGGTTTGGGGTCAGTGGAACACAAATGCAGGGCAGGGGGAACCGGGATCCAGTGGACCCAGTCCCTTCAGGGCCGCTTCCGGCCCGGCAATTGCCGAGAGTAAGACGCCGATGAAAGGGTGTCCTTCCGGGCCAACGATCGAATCCCCAGCTATACAGACGGCGGGCTGAATGGGGACGTCAACGTTTATAAAGTGAAAATGATTAACTATTCATGCCCTGAAAAGGCAGCTTATGACATGCGGGATCTTCCTTAAAGGTTGACTTACAAAACACAGTCATAAACGGGGCATTACCCTCTGAGCGTATCGACTGTAACAGGAGGATGATGTCCAATGATCGCAATTTGGATCCTGAAGGAAAAAAATAAGTCGCTCGTAAAACCGTCTGTAGATCTGTATGTCTCGAGCGGGGCATAGAACTGGCCATGTCGAATTGATATATTCGTCATAATGACTCGATGATGAGGGGAATGTTGGACACTCGTTAACATATTATTGTGTATCCTTGGTCCATTATTGAGTATTGCCTGTGTCATGATTTTGTAGCCTGTCGTATGGGTTTCCTTTGACGGCTAATTTTGATGTTTTGGGTTATTGCATGTTGTTATGCTGAATCTGCATCTGTTGTGGATGTTGGTATTGTAACTATTGTTATTTTTTTATGTATTTTTTTGGGGGGGGGTGTTTATTTTTTGGGGGATTGGTTTAACAGCTACACGCCACAATTTTTATCATATCCTCAGGTGTGGTTCCAAAACCGGCGGATGAAAGATAAGCGCCAGCGGATGTCCATGGCGGCATGCTCTTGGCCGCATCATGCAGCCCTCGACCCAAACATCTATTCTCTGATGCTGGCTGGCCGTCTGCCTTACCCGTGTCCATCGACGGCGTTCAGTTACTACCAGCCCGGTCCTCCCACCCTGTCGCCCACGGTTGGCCCGTCTCATCACGACGCCTACAGCAGCTACGCCATGCACCTCCGCGGCCGCTCGGCCGACCTGCTTCGGTCCCTGTGTCACCCCTACTCGCGTCTGGCGACTGGAGCCCCGACTTTTTCCGCCTCTGATCTGCTCGCGGCCAGGGCAAGTGCCGCCGCGGTTGCAGCAGCCAACTCGTCTTTCATCGCGCCGAGTTCCGTCCCGTCTCAGGCCGCCTTGCCCTGCGCTTGCCATCACCACTACGGACACGCTCACCACGCCTTGCCCGGTTCCCAACCATCTTCGGCCGCCGTGCCCCTCTCCGGGGTAGGGCTAGGGATCAATCGGGACCCGGAGTCAGGAATCTGTGCTTTACCGCCGTCTGTACATCACTCTTAAGGATATCAGAAAAGTCAGGTCTATCTTTCAAAATGGCAAGAGTGCTACTGAATGCACACTCGACTGAGTGTGTAAGCCGAGTTTGACTTTTGCAGTCCAATGTTAACCCAAAATTAGACACAATAAATGGTGTTTCGGGGCCCTTTGGGTTATACCCTACATCTGTGATGGATCCTAGTCTCCTCGTTCTGGCTGCGATGAACTCGTATGGCACGGCTTTTAGTTTTTGTTTTAGCTTCAAGTCCATCGGAACTGCATGTCTGCGACACACAATGTAAATAAATTTCTAGATCGCCAGTCCCACTATACGCAGTGTTCTTGTTACCTCGTCGTTAAGGAAAACTTTATGTATATGTGTACAATGTAGATGTTTTTAAAAGTTGTAAATATAAAGTTTTTGGTTGCATAATGCTGCCACCGACGAAAATCACTGAGTGTAAAAAATCATCATTAAATACCTAACTTAATAGTGTTGGCGTCCCGTTAAGACATTACACTGTCGAAGCAACTCAACTTAACACCTTTCATCAGACAATTAAATTATCTCTGTGTGCGTCATTGTACGTAGTTACCCTCGATTTTGTACACGGGGTAAAAGGAAATCATTCCGCGAGTGATATGAACCATATTCTGGAGGCAGCCAGTGTGAGACATAACCATAAAGTTTACCAATAAGCTGTCCAACTGTTGGCGTCATTTAAGTTGATTTCACAAAATGCTGAGAGTCCTGCTGAATTCAAAGTTGAAAAAAAATGCTTCAAAATTGGAAGACATAATCAGTGACTGTTACAAGACAATAAAGTACAGTGAGCGAAGCTGCAGTGCAGTCGATTTATGGGTCACAAAAAATCGCTAAAACTAAAACTGAACTGTAGAATAACAGTTTAACATCTCAAAGCTGTTCCCACAGAACACCTTTCTGTCCAGAAGCTTTATATTAACACCACACTGAATTGTCTTTCTTTTATATTTGAACAAAATGCCAGTGTCGTTGAACTTCGAGCTTCGTTGTGCAGTTTACTTTTCGTCGGTCTCGGCCAATGCTCGTGTTTAAAGCAACCTTGAGCCTGTGCTTGCATATCATTATAAGAGCAATATTCGTAGTTAACGAGATGAAGATTATACTAGGCTAGTTCAGAAATGCAGCGACCGACTAAACACTGAATTTCCTAAGTTAAAGATTTTTTTGGTGGGGAGGGAGTCAACAAACAGTTTTATTTGTCGTCAACTCTTCTCAGCGTTCACCCAACTACGCATTTTTGTAAACAATTATTTATTTTCCATATAAATATCATTTTCCAATGTGTAAAATGTCGGCTCTGACAATAAGGGTACCATAGGAAATGTTACATGAATGGTTCAGATTATGTATACATGTAGCAGTCCATGTACCGGCTGAAATAAATAGCGAATCAATACAAGAGCAGTCCTGTTTACTTCTTGTGTTTATTAAAATCTGTTATGTCGCCCACTGCCCCTGAACAGGAGCATGCATTAATTTAAAACTTTGCAGTACAGACTTTGCAATTCTTAATGTTTTTTCCTATCTTCTAAGTGCCTGTTACAAAATTATTCGTGGCCTTTTACAACGCAGCAGAATTAACTTGGGAGGCCTTTTCACAGGGTGACGTGTTTCTGGATTTTACCCACTTGTTTTGTTGTGTGTAGTGTTTTTCAATATGGGTTTTGCTTTTTTTTTTGTAGCTGTATGTAACTTCATTGTGAAGTGTGTAACGAAGGAGAAAACAATGCTGCTATTTCCTAAATTACAAAATTTCCTTATTCAGACTGAAACGAAGCACATCACGGGTTTGGAATGAAACTAACAGAGTGTGCAGTGGAGTTCCTGCATCAGTTATTGTGTACAAGAAGTCTTGTCTTTATTCGACATCTAATCATTGCTCACTGCGGCATATGAAGATACCAATGTTCGGCATTCAGTATCATGGAATGAACATCACCATGACTTAATGAGAAATTAGTCGAGTGGCAACTCGATCTGTCTGGTTGGATGCATTTGTCTTGTCTCTTGCGACATTCGAGTCTATACGGGCCGGGACTTTGCCAGAGTTCAGCTATGCTTGAGTTCAGCGTCTGTGGAGAGATGCTGACTGCCGGTAACATAAAGCCAAAAAAGTCCTACACGTTGCATATCGTCATTTTGCAAAAGAAAAAGAAACATACCCCTCTAAAAGTTCACGTCAAATCAAAGCTTAGCTCGCCATATTTTACTTTCTGTTGAATTTCGGGAGTAAACCAATAACCGAATAAATTCCCTAAAAGACGGCCAACCCTGAAGCAGTGTCCGAACCTGTCGCCATATAAAGAAATGATCTCTCTGTACTTCGTTGCAGACCGGAACAACTTCAGCGGTTCATTTTCATCCAAACATTTCATCCAAAACTGTGAACTGCAAGGCAAGGTGAGCTGTAAGGCAATATTGGGTCCATTGATTGGCCTGCAACCTCGTACGTGAAAGTGATGGGCTACTTCATTCCAGGTTGCCGCCGGTGTGCGCGTTGTTTACGCACAATGTGCAGTTTTGTTTTGCTGTGTTTAGTTGACTCAAAAGAAAAGGATTACGAACTGCTCTACTGCGAGTCTTGCAGAAGTTTTTGTCAATCGTTACTGTTGGTTTACAAGTCACTGAACTTTGCCATTTAGGCCTATACATGTGTATATATGTTATTCATGCGTATTTTACCCATCCCTACTTTGCACTCTGCCCGATGAGCATGACAAATTGACAGCACATTTTGAAATAACAGCTGTCGCATAATTTCTGTCTTGTTCTGCCCTCGGTGTGCCTGTGAGCTTACAGTTTCACAATACGATGAAGCCAGGATCTCTGCCTTATTCCCAGAGCTGAACCTGTAAATGTGCCTTTAACATTGTCATAAGCAACGAGCCGAATTGCCAATTTCATACAACATTTAGTCTTGTGGAAATCGATCGATTTCCAGCTGTACTAATGTATGCCTGAAAAAAACTTGAAAACATAATGTGTAACCTCGTGAATCCGCACCCTGCCGTAAAAAATATCATTTTAGTCTGTTTCTAAATTATGTCGTGTTTCAGTATGGACTTGTGTCCCCCCCAAAAAAATTCCACGCAAACGAATCCTCCAAACATTTCCTCTTATTACACACAGCACGGGATATGCAATAACGGTGGTATTTGCGGCAAGACAGCGCGAAGAGGATTTCTCCTTGCACAGAGTAATCAAGCGTGATGTCTTGAGAGGCCGGCCCAGCTGCCGTTGCCCCGCTAGCCCCCCGTGACCGTCTTGGGACCAGCCGCTGCACGCAGTGCGCCCGGCCGGGCTGCCGAGGCAGTGACGGGTCGATGCTGGGGAAAACCCATGAGGGCGTAAACTCGCAATGATTAACAACAAAGCAAGCGTTAAACATTATGATTACACATTCTGCAGCCGAATGGCCTTTGCATGGACGAAGCTAATCCAATTTTATTGAGTGTATCTTGGAGCGAGCAATTGCAACAATTTTGAGGCTGTGTTTTTGTCCCAAGGTTGAAAGTCTCAACTCTAAGACCCAGAGTGGCAGATCGGCCTTCCCTTTGAAATGTCCTTCAGTCTCATTTCTTACTGTGAGTTACTGGTAGCTTCATTTTGAATCAGAGAAGAATTTTCGGCATCGTTGCTCTCAAGATGAACGGAGCGTGCTTTTCAGGGAATTCGTAGAAATTGAGTTTAAATCGTTTAATCGTGCTATTTGCTGACAAGACAAATCCGCCTCATTTCAAACTGCACACACTGAAAATAACTTTAATTTTACGTCTTTCATTTCATTGGAAAAAAAAAACAGGAAATAAGGAAAACGTCGTCCATCTATTATGTGCCGAGAAAGACGAGACATATGCCATGGAAATTCTAATTTGTCGCTAGGGGGACCCTCTACTGAACATGTCGGTCTTTGAAAGATACTTGCCGAGTTGATCATTTGTTGTGAGCACGTCCTACGCATCGGTGTTAATAACATGCACGGATAGCGCTATACCTTGTTGCTCACAATGATAACTGCCGCCGAAATACACTTAATGCACACATACAAAGACAAGATGAAGACTGCGCAGCGCAGCTCTCAGCGACGTCTATTCTTGTGATGGAGTCGAGTACATCTAATCCGAGTCCGAGCCAACTAAGCCAAGTCCAGGAGGGTCCGAGCCAGGTCCGAGTCCATTTTTGTCCGATATTGCCCTCCCGCGCCCAAATCCCAGACACACCAAAGATTTTGTTTGAATTGAGGGGCATCAATGTCATTTGGCAACACAACAACATGGTATACACCGCTGCACCACGCGCATGATTCGTTCAAAAGTTTGTGTTTCAGCTCAATATTTGACGAGCAGGATCAGTACGTATATAAGTAACTATCAAAGAGTTTTCATTAGCATAGGATATGTGCGACTCTGGGAATCAAACAGACACTGTCTTGGGGGTGATGCCTTCTTATTGAAAACGTTTGAAATGAATCAGGAGAGCATCCGTGACCATGAAAAACCACGTACGTTCACGGATCTATGTCTAGTTTACGGTCAACTAGGTCCGTAGCCATCTCGGTCCGACCTTACTCGGTCCCAGGTCAACTCAGTCCCTTTGCAAAATTTGATTATTTTCAACTTGGAAGCGACTTCGTCGGTTATGCTCTGTTTTTGCCAGTTCGGTCATAAAGGCCTGGTTATTAGCTATTTGGGAAAAATACAAAAAAAATTAAGTTTTTGTGTACAATATTTCCGAGTTGACTCGGAACGAGTTGATCACGGACCTAGTTGACTGGCGCCCTATGTCCAGACTGTACAGTAGGCCTACTGATTTTGAAGGATGCTTGCTCCGAAAGTGCTGCACAAAGTTGTTCCCAATTTCTCTGTGCACAGCTTACCACAGAATTTGCATTTTGATTTTCGAAGGCCGGCTGATTCTTGATAGCTTGTTGTAAAACCAAACGGATAATCTGTGACAGGGACATGTTTTGATGAACTGACAGTGAGGGCAAGACGCGATAGGCAAAATAATGACTTAATGACTAAACGTGATGTGTGCCTGTGCGTAGCATCTACATGTACATGTACCTATGAACTCGTGAATAAAAAGGTGGACAGGGCACTAGTCAACTTTGCATATTTCTTTACGCAGTTTCACTTAGTCAGGTGTATAAAAACTTTATGCCAGTCCCAACATGTCCAGAGTTTTTCACCTGTCCAGTGATTCCAAAATGAGGAACGACCATTTTGTGTGCCAAATTTAATCCGAACATTTTATATTTACAGATTTTTAAAAAATGATCATTAATGAAGTATCGAGCGTATGACGGCGTTTTATGGTGTCACTGTCACTCTCAATTTGTTGCCCAATGATGATTGGCACAAGTCACAAGAAGAAAATTAACTGCAAGCAAGTCAATCCTTCACGAGAAACGTTTTTTTACTCTGCTCTGTACAGGCAACTCTGTCAAATCGATTGAGCGCTTTCTACACGTACTTGCCATTATCCTAGACCCGAAAAGGATGGTTCATAACCAAACAATTATTGGCAACAGATGCGGGACAGTTTTTCCAATGAAATTTCTGAATTTTAAATACAGATTTGAATGGAGTTGATTCGAGTCCAGTAAGTAGTCCGAGTCCGGCACTAGCCGAGTCCGAGCCAAGCCGAGTCCAAAACGGCCCGAGTCCGAGCCGAGTCACGAGTCCAGAATAATTAGACTCCTTCGGACTGGAGTCCTCCATCACTGATCTAATATCCTAGACGACATTAACCTAGACGGTGCTCCATCGACTGTGGTGTGTTCGTACTCCGGGGTGGGATTGCCACAAATGGAAGCAAAAGACAGCAGTCAGGCCAAACTCTTTCATTTTTTTTTTTTAAACTGTGCCGTCAGTGCCGTCATCCTATCACTTTTGAGCTTCCTAATTATCAACCGAGAGGTGGACTTGGGATGCCTTTTCACCAGCCGCACCCCAAGGGACCTTCGCTACTCATCGCAAGCAAGGGACAGGCGGCACGGGGCGGTAACACCCTCTTTACGGTTTCGTTCTCTGCGAACGTGTCGTGCCTATTTACCGTCACCTAGTTGCACGCCCGTAATTACCCAGTGCCATCATTTGGCCGATATAATTACGCTGTCAAGTTTAATCATCAACAGCCGCTCACTTTTTGCCGGCTGCATTGTGTGACGATGTGTACCCAGCCTCAGCAGATCTTAGCGAGAAGTTCACTGGGAGAGACTAAACTCAAGGAGTTGGTATCATTCGAAAGTCCAAAACATAAAAACAGCGATTTGCTTTTGACAGTAAATATTCTGAGTCGTTAAGACATTCGTGCTATGCTCGAAGCAGTGTCCCCAAATAGCAAAATTAAATCATTTTAGATTCATGTACATGTGCACATGTATATAGAAATTAGTG